TGTTGAAACGCTGAAAAGAAGAAAGAGAAGCAACACTGAAACAGAGCAAACCTTGTACTCCAGAAACTTCGTGACAAATGATACAACATGTTTAGAGATAAGGTTCTACAAAATCAGACACTGTACTTATATGCTTGCACACAGATTTCTTTTCCTAGCTAGGTCGAGTATCGACAACAAAGACCGAGTTTGCTCCTTTCTATGGCTATGCAATGGGTAGCCAATCAACCGCTCTGTAGACTTTGCATTCAAGAGATGGGAATGGAATTGCTGCGGGCCGTGTTCAGTCCGGTGCTTGTGTTCACTCGGGTTGGCGTTGCGTCTGCTGCTGTAGGATCGATCGGCAGCCAGAATATAACCCCTGCTATTCACACTGGACACTGATGGATCGACGCGTCCATCCGTGGCAACCTTTCAAGTTTAGGCCCACTGCTAGGAGTAGTTCTTCGTCTGATGGCGCCATCCTGATGTCATCTTATGCAGGGATAACCGGCTCACCCACAAAGTAATCTAGAAGCAACCAAGAGCAAAGCTAGCAGAGCACCGGTAAGCGGCCGTTCAGTGGAGCATCACTGGCCAGACCAACTCAGCACTCAGCAGCGGTTAATTCGATTGCAGCCTTTCAGGGTCCTAATCATGCCATTATATTAGCCAAAAATCTCGGCGATCAGCGGCGTCCAGTCGTCCACCACGGCACCACTTGGTTAGAGAGCAAAGCCACATCGATATCGCCACCGGTCGCGATCACGTACGGCGAATGCCTGCCAAGTCTCCTCTCCGGCCTCAGCCGCTTCTCTCGGCCGGTAGAAATGGGCGGACGTCGTCGCTGGCGACTCCCCGCGCCGTTCAGCGTCGTGCCGAGCGGACAGGTCACTGCAAAATTTAGCATGCTGCCGCGTCACGAAGGGTTACGGTTACGACTAGTTGCTGGCTTGGCTGCCATGCATCCGGGACGCCGATGCGTTTGTAAATGTAAACCCAGTCCCAGAGATTGGCAGATTGCACGCGTCGCCGTCTCTCACCTCTCACGGTGGACTTGACTGATCTGAGACAGCGAGGGAGCCTGGTCAAGTGTGGTCTGTGGAGCGGGAGACAAGAGGTTCTTCCACACTGTCTCCGTCGATCGAGGGAGCCCGGTGAGCTGCGCATGAGCTGTGATGAGATCAGGCAACCTTCTTTTTTTTTTGAGCAGAATGAGATCAGGTAACTGGATCGGGCGCGCGCGTGCATTCCTCCGAGACCATGATGGGCCACGCACAAAGCTTAGCCTGTCCTTTCTGGGCCAACAACTGCTCATGTCGTGGACTCGTGTTAGGGATGAAAACGTGCGGGATAATTTCGATCTTGTTCCATTTCGTTTTCTTCATTTATTGCATCCCGTTTCATTTTTGGACATTAGATCTTTACAGAAAAAAAAATATGTTCTCTTAGCTTTAGTTTCATGTTCTACCTTTGAACGGCCTGTTCGGCTGGTATTAAAGCCGGCTGAAGCTGATTTGTTGTGAGAGAAAATCTTTCTAAATGATAAACCGGTACCGATAAGTTCAAAACAGCAGTTCTTTTATGTTCTCTTAGCTTAAGTTTCATGTTGGAACATTCGTATTTGTTCGTTTCCGTATTTCCATATATCCCTTTTCGTCCCTGTTCTCGGCTATCTCAATTCGTTCCTATTCCCAGTGATCAGATGCGAAAACTGTTAAGATCATGTTTGGCAGTACATTATTATTTCTCAGGTGCAAATCATTTCCGTTTGTAATTTTCTATGCAGAACAATCCTACCACTTTATTTTGCACTTGGAAGTTGCTCTTTGCATAAAAAGCTTTCGTTGAAAACTACAAATATAGTATTGTTAAAATCCACCGTTGCATGAGGCAGACCTTTTCAAACATCGCATCTGATTGGGCTAGAAAAATGATTGGGTCAAATTTTTGGTTAAAATATAATCCGATACACTTGCATTCCATATTTGTTTTTTTTATTTTTCTCATTTTAGTTTGAATTTTTTTTCAGGTTAGACCAAACCATGGACTGAAAATCATGGCTCGAGCCTGACCCGAGTTACTGTCAGATCAGGATTTCCTCGGACGGGTCGGGTCCAACGGGCTATGAGTATGTCTAGTGTGAGTTGTGTACCTCTGCCACTCGGGGCCTAGCGGTAGTGCTAGCGCCCGAACGTTCGTACGGACGCCCGCGCGCTGTACTCCGTTTTGCGCGCTCTACGAAGGGCCCGCTCCATCCGAGTGACAAGAGGGAGTGGGCGCGCGGCGCCTCCGATTCGGAAGGACCCAGCTACGACGTCTTATGGATGCCCTGCCGGCACCGGGAAGATGACACACCAAGACAATGCAGCAGGTGGGGAGGAGAGATGTAACACCCGATCTACTTTTGAAACATCCAAATACAACAGTTGCAACATACGTCTGAAAACAGTTGAAACACTCGAAACATGCTCCCGAGACACTTAAAAAAGACCCGAGAACACTTAAAAACATTGCAACCATACGTAACATCAATAAAACATATGCAACATATGTAACATATAGATAGGAACACTTGCAACATGCGTCCGGAAAACACAAATAAAACATACCTCTGAAACATCTGAAGCACTCGAAACATACGCTTGCAACATGCCTCTGAAACAATTGCAACTTATGCAACATACCCTGATCTACTTTTGCAACATCCATATGAAACAAATGTAGCATACATCTGAAACGCCTGAAACACTTGAAACATACACATGCAACATAGGGGAGGGGAAGGCTGGGCCGGTTGATTCCAGTCGTCGGGGTCAGAGACGGCAGCGAGCGACTGCGCGCAAGCACCATCACCACCAGTGCCACCAGTACCGGCCTTGGCTCAACGCCGCCAGGGTGGGCGGAGCTCGGTCACCGGGGGTGAGGAGGGCGCCTCGTCGGGGTAGGGGAGAGCCGCCCATTCTCCTGTAACACCGCCGCGCTGCCTCCATGGATCTCGTCAGGATCCGCGAGCATTAGACGCTCCTGGTGGGTGAGGACGCCGGGTGGATGGAGGAGCCATCGAGGTGGCGGAGGAGGACGTCGGGGTGAAGAAGGGCGCACACCGAGGTGGGTGAGGGTGCCTCCGCCGACTAGGAAGGCAGCCATGGCCATGTGTCAGGGTGAGGCGGGGCGCGAGCACGGAAGAGAGAAGGAAGCGAGGAATTATGTGTGAAAATGAGCAGATCGAGGCGTCCGCCTGTTAAAACGTCTTAATCGGAGGGCCCTGGTAGTCCGTACACTGCGCCCACGCAGTTCGTTCTCCCTCCCTCTGCGCCACGTGGAAGAGAACCCCACTTGGCCTCCTGCCCCAGGTTGCCTCCTGCGTCCTCCCCCGCTCCACTGCGGCACTGCCTCTGCTTCTCCGCCGCGCCAGGGTGTCAAACTACTCGAACCGATCAACGACGCGACGAACACCCCCCGAACCCGAACCCTCCAAAGCTGGAGGCCGGACCACCGGAGCAGAGCGCGCTCCAAGTTGAATCCCCCATCTCCTCTCGCCGTCCAAAGCCGCAGGTAGGCCGCCGCCTCCATTGCCCTCCCCAATCCATCCATCTCCTGCGCCGCGCGTCCGCGCGGGATCGATCTCTCCGCTTCTGCTCCCCGGTCTGCGGAGATCCATCTATTTGGGCGGTTAGGGTCGCCCAGAGCATGGACGCCGCAGGCGTGTACGCTTGAAGGGGCGCAATGCCAATGTTTTTTCTTCGCGTCCGTGGCGGCGTCGATGCGGGGGGTTCCCTCGCGATCGGTGCTCGTGTCTGTTGGAAACGTTTGCAGATGACCGTGGGTTTTGGGTACCTGCGATTGGAGGAGCGGGGTGTGGGCGCCTCGGCTGCAGCTTGCTGGTTTCTCTAGCGGGGATCACCTGCAATGCAATGCTCATGCTCTGTTTGAACAACGCTGTCAGGGCTGTGGTTTTGCTAGTTTCGTGATTCAAGCTCGTGTCGGTTGATTGGGACGGAAATGTATGCCGCCGGCGATTCAAGCAAGTCGTCGACCTCCTGCTTCTCGAATTTGATTTTTGGATTGTTATATGTGCTGTTAGGATAGTTTATTTAGATTCCATGTGCTTCAATAAGCCTTTCATTGCATAGTGTAAATTTCGGCTTGTTTCAGTCGCCATGAGTTTACAGATTGGGTGTATTTCCAAATATCTTGAACTGGAGCTAGATCTTGTTGCTATCATGATTACATTTAGTCAGCCAGAGACAGCTAGCAATTCATCTAACTATGTTCTGGTGTTTTCAGTTTTGTAAACTACCAATGCATTCGGTAATGCAGGTTTTATTGGTGCCAACGTACTGAACATAGCCGAATATGAAGTAGAAAATGAGCCAGTGCCAAGCTTTGCATGATCTATCTGCAAGTTTCTTTAGTCTTCATTATATAGAATGTCTGAATGTGGCATGCTTCTAGCAATTTAGTTACACAATGCGATGCAATTTGAGTTACTATCCACCAACCAAATTCAAATTGTGTTGAGTTACTATCCACCAACCAAATTCAAATTGTGACTGTTCTTATAGGATATTTGCATTATCTTACTGAATTCCTGCTGCAGATTAGCAGGTCCACTATAATCTTTTTATGACCTTGTCTGGGATGGCTGTTGCGTTCAAAGCAAGTACAAGTTCTACCACACAGCAACATTGGCTGAGTCCAACAAAGGACCGGTGTCAAAATGGTTTCACTCAGTTAAGCAGGCAAAAGTGCAGAAAAAGGTTTGTGCGTGTGACAGCTATTTCAGGAAAGCTAGACCTAGATTTCACTGACCCTTCTTGGAATCAAAAGTACCAGGAAGACTGGAACAGGCGTTTTAGTTTGCCACACATCACTGATATATATGATTTGGAGCCAAGAAGAACTACATTCTCTTTGAGTGTACATCCTCTCGCTTAGGAGAACGAGGAACTCCAAAGTGTGGGAAAGCTTTAGTGAACCTTGGGATTACAGATGCCTTTGAACTACCAACTGAAGGGATGACTCCAAAGTTTGGAGCTATTGGAGGCTCAGAAGACAGTACAGTCAGGAGATTACGAAAACGAAGTGGCAAAGTTTTTGGAATCCCAAGTGGTGGACCAATGAAGAGTGGCCACAAGCAGAAGAAGATCCAGAGTGAAGCATCCAGTAAACAGATGGTTAATGAAGGAGTTACATCCGCTGCGGATCTGACTCCTCATGAAAATGCAGGTTGAATTTTGCACCTCGAATAAATCAGTTGACAACAGTTAATCTAATTTAGTATAAAATTCTTCTTTTGACACCCTGATACTCATTTTGGCTTGTGATTCATTACGCTGATAATATTTTTTTAGCATTCTACTTTTTATTATCTATTATTATGTGCATATCACCATCCTACACCAGTGCATAATATCATGTTGCCACACCTTAGTTCCCTGAATGGTAATTGGTAAATATGGGTTGGGTGCTGCACTGGTGCCAAGGGGTTATGTATTGTTCCTATAAGTTTGAACTTTCAGTAAGCCTTTTAAGGAGAACATTTGGGTAATCAACCATAATTCTTAACGTTAATGAAGTGTTGATGAAATATCTTGTCAGGTGGTCACTCTTAGATAAATTAATAGCAGGGCCTTCCTTCCGTTGTCCTTTGTAATCTTGCTTCCTGTAAAACTTTAACTCAGATGGTGGGTCATGCTGAGCACAGCATGGGGAGATGGTGTAAAAGTAAACCTGTTAAATTTGCACCTTTTATATGCTTAGTCCAAACTTGTTGGAAGTTCCTGCTTACCCTGCCACCATGTGCATTATGAAAATGCAGTCTGTTTCTAACATGTTATGCTTGTTCTTGTGCTTTGTTTCCATTATGACCGTAACACACCATATTTGAGGGACATAGTGGCTTGCCTGTTAATGTTCTTTTAACATTGTATAATTGTATTGATCATCTCCTGTCATATGAAGCTTTGCTGGAGTGTTGTCTAGCAATCCTGTGACCTGTTGAATTGTTGAAAGGCAAATATCTGTAGTGCCTATTTGGTAAATCTCATGAGATATTTGCAGGGTTTCTTAGCCGCTGAGATTGTTGTTGATGAAAAGCCGAATTGCATGATTCACGCTGTAAAGGTCAGTTTCATAAGCTTCAGAATTTTCCACTTGTTCTTGAGCACTAGAGTCCTGTTGCCATCACATCACAATGGTTGGTTTAGGAACTAAATGCTAAGCTAACTGCCTAACTCTGTTGTCAATATGTTGTTTCGAGCCATGAAAAAGAAGGCTATGTATCAACTCCCTAAATACTAATAACTAACTCTTACAGGATGAGTAAAGCCAGCAAAGAAGACGAAGAGGAAGAGGGAGCCTGCATGTCTCTTTTGGAACTGGATGTGAAACTTGTGTAAACTTTGTTTCTCAGCTTGAGTAGCTAACTTATGTAGATGGAGATGGGTCATGCGTTGCCTTGGGTAGATGGTGCCACTGATAACTTGTAGGCCTTAGCTCTAGCTACTACCCTTAATATTGCCCAACCTCTAGAAGTGATCTGTTTGACCTGTCATCGTGCCTCGTGTGCAGTGATACCTATATCCTGTCTACTTGTTAACTAAGTGAAGTCTGGTGATTTATCTTTCTTTGTCTGATATAAACGTCAGCCCTATTTATCAGTGTACTGGAAATTGTTTGCGGTCAGCTTTGTTATCTTTCTTTGTCTGATATAAACGTCAGCCCTATTATCTCGAGCTGCAAGTGTTCCTGGTCGGTGGACATGTACTATCAGATTACTGATTCTGAACAATGGGTTTGCTTTGAATGGAAAATTGTGTTCCTCCGATCTGCATTTCCTAGGTTAACTAGGTCAAAATCGATAATCCTCGATGAGAAAGGTGGTCAAAGCGTTAATATGCATATTTCCCCTGTCACTGTCGATGCCATGATCTTAGTGCCTCTTGGTGGGGTGGTGTAAATAAAATTTCCCTCCACGATAAAGAATGACCTGTGATCTCACTTGTTTACAAGATGCTCCATGACTGCCTGATAGGGCGCACATGGCGCGCAACAATTTTTTAGGATCTGTACTTGCTTACAGAAAGGTACACCCAAATCAGTGATCAGGTGCTGTTCCAATTTGGTTGCAGCGTTTTGATTTGTGGTGTTTGTCTCGGGAGGTCAAGTATTCTGAACTTGTAATTTTCTTCTCGAATGTATGGTACAGCAAACAGAGCTCATGCCCATAGATTCAAAGAAAACAAAAAATTCTGGCTTCGAAGTTATGCCTGGCGCCAGCATGTTTCAAGTTGCAACAGTAGAGCCATAAGCAGCTCTTTTTCTTCAGGATCATTCAGGAGTACATAAATAGACCTGGATTGTCCAAAACACCTTGTATTTCTTGCTTACAGAAAGCTACTCTACTCAATAAGTTACACCCAAATCAGTACGGGGACCGTAAAGAAAATTTCTAAGATACAAGCTTTTGAATAGAGTACACGACTAACGAAGAATTCCAAAAATTGTTACCGACATTATGTGGTTGCAGCGATCACCAGCAAGCACGGTATCCTGGCTGCTTCAGTGCTACCTCTACAAGGGTTGACCATTTTCCTTGCTACAGGATGACTCCTTGTTCGTCGGGTAAGGTTGGGTTGCAGAATTCCTCATGTTAGAACCTCGGAAACGTGCTTTCTTCAAGCTACAGCCGTCTGATTCCCACCAACCCAGTACTGCTTCACGGCATATAAGATCTTCTCGCGCACGAGGGGGCCATCCTCGTGATCAACCATCTTCGTGTTCCACCTCATACCCAGAGCGAGGCTGTTCACCTTGGTTAGGACGTCAACATCGTCCCGTATTATGACGGCACCTTCAGGCCTCAAGATGCGGTCCATCTCCAGGAGAATGTCTTCCATGCTGCACCTGTTGGTAGTTTCATAGATAAAATAGATCAGCACAGGCAATGCAAGTTATGAATTAACTACAGAAGACAAGAGTAGCTTACTTGTTTTTATACAAGGTGAAAAGACCGCAAGCATGGATAAGATCATATGTCCTTGGATAAGTAGAGAAAGCCTCACACCTGCAATAGGGTAGTGTCAAAATGTAAGTTCATGATCACTAGACACTACTTTTGTGAGCACACAATTCAAGTGTAAAATGTCAAACCAGTCATGATATATGCCAATCAATCCTCGCTCATACACAGCCCCCAGGGGTGGGCATCTTTGCGATGGTCGGCACAACATTCATCACCCAAGATTTTGGGGACTCTATTACAGCAGCGAATCCCCCGAATCCTGCATTCATGTCCATAATATTCCTGTATCTACCAGTAAGCAGATACTTGTTCACACTGCTGTAAGCCTTGACATGCTTCGTCCACATTTTATTGTCTTTCTGAAATGCCTGAGACGAAACCCCTGGGATCAAACCATTAGCAATTCTTGGAGGAACTGCATTGAGCCTAGCTGGGAAGGGTTTGATTGCTCCTCCAGCTACTTCGCTTTCATCTTTTACATCTGGAAGGGTGTCACACAGGCCTTCATCTTCTTGTACCTGATGAAGTAGCAGTAGTTTGTAAGAATTTGGAACAGAAAAGAACCATACAAACCAAAGTACTCTGTTCAAATGACTGATCTTATTAACAAGATTACATGAACAGCATACCAGACATCATCTGGGTTTGTTGATTCACACATCTGCACAGTTGATTCTTCTTGCCTAGAAGGGCAAGACTCAGTATTCACCCTTTTCCTCCATATTGCCATCTCACCCTTCTCTGAGATTTTTTCCCAACATAGAAGGTCAGCAATTTCCTCTATCCTGTTCTGCTCTGCCTCAAGATCCTTCTTTGTGCGTTGCCAACCCTTGTAGTTCACCTTCCAATTAATTGGAGGGCCAGACAGCACCCAGTAGCCACCAGGCCTTAGAACCCTATCAACTTCCATCATGTACATTCCATCTGTGAAAATGCGAAAACAATTTCGGGTTGTAAAATGACTTGCATCAAATATAAATGAATGTTCTAAAGTATCAATGATAGTTACAATCCCTGAATTTTTTTGCTTTGATGCAGAATATAAGAGGACGCATGATTAAGCTCACCATTGGCTCCCCATGGAATCAAGCACCTGGAACAATGGGCCATGTCAAAGGCCCTCGATGGATAAGGAAGTTTTATTGTACCAAGGACACCAATAACAGCTGGGACACCTCTCTCCAGAGCAAACTGCACTTGTGCCTCGTCACGAATCTCTTGGCGCAAAACGACATGGCCAAGACATTCCTCTTCAGCAAATAAGCTCCCCAGCTAGCCACCTGAAATAGTTATGGTGTGTTAAGACATGAACCAGACTTTGTAACCTGGCTCGAATTAGCAACACGCAATATGCAGTTTGGAATTTCCTCTTACCCCGCAACCAGTGTCAAGTGCAGTCCTGACAGTTCCATTGGCGACCGGAATGACTGATGCAAGCTGATCAATATACTTATCGGCTCCTTGCGGGAATTGTGTCCCTCCACCAGGGAATCTGAACACATTACCCTCATACTGAACCCAGTTCTGGATGGCTTTCTCGACTGTCAAGCTCTTATACGGGCAATTTGCAAACGGGACATAGTCCCGACTCTTGGGCCACGGGAACGGAGCCACGTAACCTTTTGGGGGTGGGATCAGACAGTGCAGCTTCTCCTTCTGCGCCGGGCAGTGCCGCTCTCTGTAATTCATGTTCTCCCTAGGGAACTTCATCGCCCTGTTCTGATCTTGGCAGGGGGTGTAATCCGTGTAGTGATCAGCGCAAGGCTTGAACTTCTTCGCTGGCGAGACAAGATCGCTAGAGCTGCTGCCAATAGCTTTAGAATGGTGGGTGTCGAAGCTAAGGTTGGGCAAGACGGTGCAGTCGGTGCGCTTCGTGACCTCCAGCGCGATGCTGTCCCCCTTGCCGAACCCGCTCTTCTGCCACGCTCCGAGGATGTAGAAGAAGCAGCACATGCCAATCACTATGCATAGGAACACCGTGCTCCTGGTCCGGTTGTCGCCGGAGCTCGCCTTCAAAGCCATGGCTTGCTTACCCTGAGGTATTAGACAGCCGAAAACATGAACTTTATGCACTATTTAGTAATCCTTATTAGGAATGTACATAGGAATAGAATGCCACCGCTCAGGGGCGGATCTTTGCAAAACAATCTTAATGTACATGCATATATACTTGTAATTAGATCAGATCCGAATACAGTATCAAGTTAGCGTTTGGGTGCTTGGTTTTGCACAGGAGGAAGGGAAGACCCAGGGGTGTGGCGTACCTGGTGGTGGTTGCCGCCGGGCGCCGGCGAAGGGCCCGAAGAAGACCTGGGCACCTGGCGCAGGACGGCAGCGACGGCCGCCCAGTCGCCGCCGACAGAAAGAGAGGGAGGTGAGCGCGCACGCTGGGTAAAGGAAGGGGTTAGCAATGGAAGAAGAAAATAGATAGAGCGGAGTATGTAGGGCTATTTGACAGAGGTTTTGCCGGCTTCGGCTCCACTGGCCACCGCTGTATAACGGGTCGGGTATTAGCTAAAGCACGCGTAGTGGAGATATATTTTTTTTATCGAAGATTGAGCGTGAACAAACATTCGGCCTGATGACCAATTGACTCATAATAGATTTATATTTATATATTTAATATTGAAAAGAAAATATTTCTCTCACATTTTTTCGTTTACCTTTTTCGTCCGGCAATCCATCTCATCATGCTTCACTCTCCTCTCTACATCTCACTCTCGCCATCTATATGTTGAGTCCAAATCCAATGAGTGTGTTTGACTGCCTAAACCCCTAATCCTAAACCCTAAGTCCAACTCTATAACTATAGTTTATTATAGTATGAACTAGAGAAGCAGCAGCCGAAGCCGCAACCGCAGCTAGAAAAAGCTACAACGAATGCACCCATTTATATCCAATATAAGACCACATTTACAACAAAAAAGCTAGCATAATCCAAATTCAACAAGAAAGAAACCATATTTCGGACAATACATGTCTAGCCATGTTACGGGATTCAATTCCAAGAGCACCTTCAACAACAAAAAGCCAACTTCCCTTCAAAAATAACAAAAGCCAACTTGCTAACACATATAAATATAAAAAAAGATAAAATAGAGTAATCTAACATGCTAGTATAAAGAAGTATGAGCATACACATATAAATCAGAATTTATAGCTCTTCATAAAGAGCAAACTTATTATTCTATCTTATTGTCATTGAATAAAATAAAAATATTCTACGAGCTAGTTATTTTAGGGCACAATAGCCATTTTGATCCCTCAACTATTACTCGAGGCTCAATTTCATCCCTAAACTTTTAAAACGTCCGTTTAGGTCCTCAAACTTTAGTTTTAGGATCAATTCCATCCTACAATTACGAAGATGATCGTTTTAGTTCTCAAACTTTGCATCTTGGGATCAATTTCATCCATAAACTATCAAAGTGTATTTAACTTTTATTTTCAACTCAATTTTGTCTATTCAAAAAGAGAACCTTATATTTTAGGCATAATTTCATCCATAAATTATCAAAATTATAGATCTGCTATTGTTTCAATATATCCATGTATTCTTAATGAATAAATAGTGCTCGATGCAACTGTAATTGCTCCCGTAATATCATTTAGTCGAATATATATAAATGGTACCAACACTAAAAATAATAGCTTGGAATTATTAATGATCGCGAAAGAGTTTTTGGATGAATATTATTTTTCTATCTCCAATCGCTGATGGTGTTCGAGCTAACCAGGTGTAACAGTACAACGTTTCACGTAGAACGTAGACAACGTTGTGTTGAAAATAAAAGTTTAAAGAACACAATACACTTTGATAGTTTATAAATGAAATCAAGCCCAAAATATAAAGTTCGAGGGCTAAAACGATCATCTTCGTAGTTTTAGGATGAAATTGAGCCTAAAAGTAGAGTTTGAGGACTAAAACGGCCGTTTTGAAAATTCAGGGACGAAACTGAGTCTCGAGAAATAGTTGAGGGACCAAAATGATTATTTTGCCTTATTTTAGTATTATTGGAGCTTCCCTAAGACATATTAGAACAATGGCATGATTGTTGCATAAGAGCATCTGCAATGATAATTCAAAAAAAATCGATTGGTAAGTTTCTCAAATGGCTAAAATAAGTCGGAAGCATATTTATTTGGTTCCTCCAACCATTTTTTAAAACCTCACTCCTAAAACATACAAGAGAATTTTGTATCAGAAACCGTGTACTATTTTCAAATCATCCGCAACCACTTTTAGATGTCTCTCTTATATATTTACATCGAGAACCCTGTCCCCTAGTCCTCATTTTTCTCCATGTCCTTGGATTGGTTTTCCTTAGTCCCGAGAAATTAGGAGGTGAGATAAGGAGTTGTTGAAAAATGATTGCTTTTTTAATCTTACTAAAAATTAAGATTAAAAGTGGGCTTAGAAACTTTTGAAGATGCTCTAAATCAATAAGGCCTCGTTCGGTTGTAATGGAACCGATCCAGACGGATTGACCCAGGGGTACGTGCAGAGCAATACCGACCATCGCGAGTCCTCCGATCCGCAGGCACGAGAGATCTTGCGCCGATGCCGTCGTGAGGAGTAGCGCCGCAGCAGTCGCGAGCGTTCCGCGGGGATCTGTTCCTCCACTCCAGAGCTACGGTTTGATTCCAGGCGTTGTGCAACGATATTTTGGGCCGTATAGCGGAACAGTTCTGGGTATACGAGTTTTGTAGGCTAAATGAACACGTATTTTAGGAAGGAATCCACCAGACCGAGATTAATCCGTAACCGAACGAGGCCTAAGTTTTCCAAGCCACATAGAGGTACTTCTATTTGCTAGTGAGACGCAAATTTCAGAGGCGAACAAAAATGGTCGCGTACTGTACAAATTGACCTCGTCACGCTCACTCCTGCGCGCCAGTACACCACGAAGTAGCATGTTTGGTTGGTTGGTTCGTTTCGTTACTGATTCGTAAAGAAATACTGCTGACTGATTTATATGAGAGAAAAATACTGTTCCAACTAAAAATTTACGATCGTTTAAGCCACAGTCACACGAACAGCTCGACCAGAGAAGCGCGTGATGGCCCGACCCACGACGAGCTAAATCGTGTGGGCTCCACATGCAGCGGGTTGGGGTCCATGGGTGTGGTGGGTGTCGTCGCACTTGGGAGGCCACGTGAGTGGGGAGGAGGGGCCCGCCCGTCCATCCAGGTGCCGGAGACCGCGTGGACCGTGGAGTAAAAAGTCCAGGGCGGTTACAAATGCACGAGCACCGCGGATCACTGATGTGGGTGCGGTGCCGTGGGCCGTGACGTTGGCAGAGTCAAAGGAAGCGCACGGCAAAGGCCACGTTTAGTTCATCCAAATTTCAGAATTTGGCACTATGTAAAAAGAAGATTCTCCGTCACATCAAACTTACGGTACATGTATGGAGTACTAAATGTTGACGAAATCAAAAACTAATTGCACAGTTTAGTTGTACTTTGCGAGACGAACGTTTTGAGCCTAATTAATCAACGATTGGACAATTATTATCAAATAAAAACAAAACGCTATAGTACGCAACAGTGCCGCGAATTTGGGCGGCGCCAAATCTGGGGCCGAACTAAACGCGGCCAAAGGCCGTTCAACCGTTCGGTCCAGCTGCACTTCCATTCCATTTGCTTGTTTTCTTCGGCCGGGCTGCGGCACTACCATCTGGAATGCATGCAGCACTGACAATGGCAGGCGAGTTTGCTCGTAATCCACTAGCCCAGCACTAGCAGGCACCAGGCAGCAGCTGTGGCTGTGGCTCCCAAAATTGTAGAGCGTTTCCCTGTGAACCGAACCGGGTTTTCTTCTTTCTTTCTTGTAGCTGCTGCTGCTGCTGCTGCTGTTGTTGAGAGAGGCAAAGCAAGCGGTGCACAGCTTCCGTCCGCGGCAAGAGAGAGCACAGACATCCTGACAGCAGAAAGCCGCAAGTCGGTGTGGGCCTCCGGACATTGGGTTGGGCTCGAGGACTCCGCTTTTTCTAACCAGGCCCTTCTTTCGAGCTGGACCGACGGCCTGCTTTTCCTTCCAGGTTCTCAGACCTGAATGGGATGAGAGCTTATCAAAATCTCTGACGATATAATAAAAGGCCACAGCAAATTAGCTAACGCTGCTTTTCAGTCTGGGGCCTCGTTTAGATCGTAAGTTTTTTCACTTTTTTTCTATCACATCAAATCTTTGACACATGCATGGAGTATTAAATGTAGATAAAAAAATAACTAATTATACAGTTTGATTGTAAATTACGAGACGAATCTTTTAAGCCTAGTTAGACCATGATTGGACAATAATTGTCAAATACAAACGAAAATGCTACAGTGCCCAATATTAATGTGTAACGCCAATCTAAACAAGGCCTGACTTTTCAGCGAAACGAACGAGGCTGTTCTCGCTTTCCCTCCTCTCGCTCGGTACGGTACCATCGTCCAGGTTTTACTTGTAGACAAGGAAATCGACGCCGCAGTTTCCATGCCAAGCAAAATTTGAACTGAATCAAGTGAATGGCTCGTGATACCTTTAAATCAAACGTACAGTAGTAGAGTTTACAGCGGCTTTGGCCGCAGCAACCAGACCTGCTGCATATATATATATAAAATATACGTCGTACATCAACGTGATGGCAACAAAGCCATAGGTACGTAGTAGCTCCGATCCTATTGTTGAATCGAGTGAGTGAATGCTGTTGTGTCGAGTGGATGATGTTGTTCAGGAATCCATCAGGACGCGCGTGTGTGTGTATGCACGCACGCCTTCAAAAGGATCACGGGGTCACTCACGGGTGCCGTGCCTCAGCTCACGGGCACTTTGGGCCGCCGCGCTTGGTCTTCCAGTTGTTGTAGCAGGGGCACTCGCCCTTGTTGCCGTAGTAGCCCGACGGCACGCACAGGCACGTGTTGCAGCACTTGTTGCAGAAGAAGAGGCACGGCTTCTTGTACTGCGTGTTGGCGCACCGCCGGGAGCACTGCGGCGAGCACTCTGCAAAACACACACCAATACAGGCAGATCAATGCACTCATCAGGTTGTTAGCCATACAAATTAACCTGATGCATATATCCTCGGATCATATCCATCCTGCTGACCTACTCCACTCCACTACGAGATCTCTACTTGCTTAGACACCAACCATCCTGTGTTCTGTATGAGTATATGATGCTGCCCCACCATGTGCACAGTTTTAGTTCTGAAAGCCTCCCTCCAACCAATCTAGACTCCTAGAACACTTACTACTACCTAGTAACAATTAAATATCACTGCATTTAGATTTACATTTATTTCATTGTATTAGTCTGGTTCTGTAAAACTGATATGTGACTACTACATGCATGCCACTAGAGATAGGAGATCAAAAGCGGAGCGATCAGAAGGTTTGAAATGGTGACTTACGGTAGTTTTTGAGGCTGCCCTGTCCACCCTGCAAAACGAGAGACAGACAGATATGTGAGACCACGCATCAGAGATAGATTCTTCGAATCGGTGAGTGATGACAACTGTGCAGAGGTGATCACAAGGGCATGCAAGGAGTTGGAGACAGACCTTGCTCACTTGGTAGACATTGTCGTCATGCTCGTCACTCCCCTTGGCCAGCACCTGATTGATGATCCAAATGCAAGAAAGAACCGCATGAGCCAGCCACACAATGCAAGTAACCAACTCGGCCAGCTGAAGATGAACCGGATCTCACCTCGTGCTCGGCCATGGAGACGGCAAGAAGGCCAGCAACGGCGAGGAGGAGGAGCAGCAGCAGCCTGCCGGTCATCGTCGCCATCTCTGTCTGATCTGAAGCGATGCGTGTGTGTGTGGCGCTGAGTGAAGGAGAAGAGCAGCTAGCTGGACTGGACTGGACTGGACTGGTGTGTCTCTCTGACGAGGAGTGAGATGGAAAGGAGATGCGGACGTATCTATAGACTAAAGACATGAATGGATGCCCCCAAGCAGCTTGTTTCAAGATGCGGTCCGGTCGCTGCTCTATTTTGATAGACTTAAGCAGAATCACTACCTATAGATAGCATGTGTATTTACATTTGAATAAACAATGAGTCTAGTAAATCTACTAGTATGGGATTAATAGATAAAGAGAGAGGGAGAGAGGAGGTGCAAACCATCGGCCGCCTTCGAGGAAGACCGGCTGACCATCGCGGTGCTTGATGAAGACTTCGGTGGAGGCGCTGCGATGAAGGGCGGCAGTGCAGTGGCGGCGTTAGCCGGTGGCGGTGCTTCCCGTCGCTGGCAACGCCTCCTCACTTAGATCGGTTTAGGGTTTCGTGGTGGTAGGTGGGGCGTCGGCGACTCGGTGAACTTCGTGCCTTGTGCTCCGGCCCCTACCTTCCTTTTTTATGGCGTTTGTCGACGGGGCCCCTCAACCATGGAACGGTTGGGCGCCCCGATCGAGTCGAACACGGATTCAACGGCCCAATTGGTCGTTATGTTAATTTACGAAGATCACCTAACATTCTCCCCATTGATCTCACCTTATGACTTAAATTTAACTTACTTACTTTATCTTGTTTCTATTCCATCGTAGATCAGTGCATAGAGCGTGTCTCATCGTCACAGTCTGTTGCCATTAGATTAAACAGCTATAATGCACCTCTCTGTTTTTGAAACAGATTCTCAACTAGGCCCTTATTGTTCAGGAATCATATGCTTTCCCTTAAACCCATGCCGGCTAAGTGTTCTCTGAACACGCTGGGTGCTAAGCCTTTTGTAAGCGAATCCACGAGCATCTTTTCTATTCTTATATGCTCAAGACTAATTATATGATCACAGACTTTGTCTTTCACAACATAATACTTTATGTCAATGTGTTTGGCAGCACCACTTGATTTATTATTGTGAGCATAACATACTGCTGGATTATTATCGCAGTATAACTTGAGTGGTTTGTGTATGTCGTCTACCACTTTCAATCCGTGCATGAATTTCTTTAGCCAATTCACCTACCCTGTGGCCTCATAACATGCTACAAACTCTGCATACATTGTGGATAATGTAGTGACGGTTTGCTTTGATCTTTTTCGCGATATAGCTCCTCCTGCGAGAGTGAATATGTATCCTAACATGGACTTTATGTCATCTTCCGCATAATCAGAATCTATTACCCCTCTATCTGCAGGGAATCAGATCTTCTGTACGTTAGCATGACACCTTTCGTACCTTGGAGGTAACGTAAAAACTTTCTTTACTAATTTTCAATGTTCTATTCTTGGATTACTCTGACATCTGCCAAGCAACCCGGTAACAAATGCTAAGTCAGGGTGAGTACATACTTCAGCATACTGTAAACTTCTGACAGCTGAACTATATGAAACCGATTTCATTTGAGCGATCTCATATTGGTTACTGGGATATTGAAATTCTCCATATCTGTTGCCCTTGACTATGGGAGCAGGTGAAGACTTACAATTTTACATACTGTATTTCTTTAGAACTTTTTCTAAGTATGTCTTTTATAATAATTCTAAAACCTCTTTTCTTTATCTCGGTGAATCTCTTTTCCTAGGACGAACGAAGCTTCACCGAGATTCTTTATATCAAACTTTGAGGACAAGAACTTCTTTGTTTCTAGTAGCAGATTAACATCACTGCTAGCGAGCAAGATATCATCCACATATAAGACTAGAAAAATGTATTTCCCATTCTTGAACTTTGCATAAACGCAATTGTCCTCTACATTTTCTTGAAACCCAAACTTTCTTATTGTACTATCAAACTTCAAATACCAATATCTTGAAGCTTCTTTAATCCGTAAATGGATTTCTTCATGTGGCATCCCATGCGTTGTTTTCCTTCCACAACAAAATCTTTCGGTTGTGTCATGTAAATATTTTCCTCCAGATCCCCATTTTGGAATGCCGTCTTTACATCCATCTGATGTAATTTTAAATCGTAATGTGCTACAAGCGCCATTATGATTCTAAAAGAATCCTTACATGAGACTGGAGAAAATGTCTCATTATAATCTATACCTTCTCTTTGCGTTAAACCTTTCACCATAAGTCGTGTTTTAAACCTTTCTATATTTCCTTTAGAGTCATGTTTAGTTTTGTAGACCTATTTACATCCTACTGTCTTGGCTCCTTTAGAAATTGTTTCTAAGTTCCAAACACCGTTGATTTTCATTGATTTCATTTCATCTTCCATGGCTTCAAGCCACTTGGATGAGTGAGCGCTTCTCATGGCTTCTTCAAATGAGATGGGATCACCCTCCATTTAAAATTCCTCACATTCATAAACTTCATAATCATCAGGAATGACTAATCTCCTGACTCTTTGAGACCTTCTAGAGGTCTCGTTTAATGATGCTTGTTCTATATGAGGCTGTTGTTGCTCTCCCTCTTGTGTGACAACTGGTTCTAGGGGATCCTGAAGGACAGGTTTCTCATGTTCATTCATTTTTGCCATAGGAGAACTAACAACAGGTGTTGTTACTATAGTGTCTTACACTGTTGGTACAGCAACAACAGGTAGCGTGAAAAATGGCTCCTGAACCATAGGAGTGGGCACGTATACCTGCTTCTCTTCAAAACTAATTTCTCACGCTATCATGCTCTCCCTGATCATATCATCATCCAAGAAGACATCATGCCTTGTTTCTATGAACTTTGTTTGTCTGTCAGGACAATAGAAACGATAATCTTTTGATTTTTCTAGATAGCCAATAAAATGGTAACTGACTGTCTTGGAGTCCAGCTTCTCTATGTTTGGATTAAATACTTTTGCCTCAGTTGAACAACCCCACACTCGTAAATAGTTTAGTGAGGGTTACTTTCCTGTCCACAACTCATACGGTGTTTTGGGTACCGACTTACTTGGCACTCGATTAAGTATATGAATGGTGGTTTTAACGCCTCCATCCATAAACTTATCGGTAGGGTAGAGTAACTTATCATGCTTCTCACCATATCCATTAAGATACGGTTGCGTCTTTCAGATACTCTATTCTGTTGAGGCTCGCCCGGTGTAGAATACTAGGCTATTATGCCATTTTCCTGTAAGAATCTTGCAAAGGGTCTAGGAACTTGGCCATATGGGTGTGTCGACTATAGTACTCTCCCCCACTGTCGGACCTTACTACCTTAATCTTTAAATTGTGCTGATTTTTTACTTCAGCCTTAAATATCTTAAATTTATCCAATGCTTTCGATCTTTCTTTAATTGGATAAATATAGTCAAAACAAAAATAGTCATCTATGAATATTATAAATGAATCATAACCACCACACTCTTCATAGGAAAAGGACCACAGATGTCTGTGTGAACTATTTCTAAAATTCTTGCGCTTCGTTTGGCATCTTTCTTTATTTTCTTAACATACTTTCCTTTTATGCAATTTATGCATTGTTCTAAATCTGAAAATTCTAAAGGCGGAAGAATTGATTTCTTAATCAATCGCTCTATTCTCCCCCTCGAAATATGGCCTAAACGACAGTGCCATAATTTTGAAGATACATCATGCACTCTGTTCCGCTTATTTGTTGCATTCATAGACGAGGAAGCATTCTCATTCTCAGTAGTTACATCATTCACATTCTTAGAAAGTGATAATAAATAAAGCTTGTCATGTCGGAAGGCAAGACCAACACATTTATTATTATAAACAATCTGACATTTGCCATTACCAAAATGGCAATCATATCCATTGTCATCTAAACGTGGAACACTTATTAAGTTTCTTCGTAAAGAGGATACAAATAGAACATCTGAAAGCTTAAGTAGAAAACCATCAACTAATTCTAGAGAAAGATCTCCAATGGCTTCAACTTCAGTTTTAACTCCATTTGCTACTTTAATTCTTCTTTCTCCTCTTTACAGGGTCCTCCTTGTACGAAATCCCTGTAATGAATTTACAACATGAACAGTTGCACTTGAATCAATCCACCAAGTAGATTTTGCATAACTTAAATACAAGGATTCATCTATGAATATAATGAAATCCTCACCTCTCTTTAGAAGGTTCTTCAGGAAGTTTGGACAGTCTCTTTGGTAGTGTCCATGCATCTTGCACCATGTGCACTGATCCTTTTCAACTTGAGCATTGTTGTTCTTCGGATGGTGGTCATTCTGAGGGGCTTTCCCTTGAGGTTTGCCATTCTTATTGAAGTTCTTTTTCTTATCTTTCACAAGGTTAACAGAGTCACCCTGTAAGAATTTTAGCCTCTCCTCTTCTTGACACACATTGCGATGAGCTTCTCTATGTCCTACTTATCGGGCTGCATGTTGTAATTAACAACAAAGGTTTCATATTCCTTTGGCAAGGAAGCAAAAACCAAATGAATCAAAAACTCATCTTGGAGCTCCAAATCCATTGGCTTCAGCTTCGAAGCCGTGTTGCTCATCTTTAGTATGTGCCCTTTGATACCGCCATCAGTATATTTCTCATTGAACAATTTCTTGATCAAAGTACTGGCATAAGCCTTTGAAGAGCCAGTGATATGACTCTCCACCTTTCTTAAAATACTCCGTGGTGGTATGACAATCTGGGATAGACCCCCTTATCGTATATGAAATTGTGGACTTAGCCACCATCAAGCACTTGCGGTTTGAAATGTCACATTTCTTGCGTTCGAGATCATACTTCATCCGTACTTCTGCATGATCTCGCTGCCGAGCAGTGCAATCAGCATCAGACTCATTTTCTTCCCTCACCGGGTCCACTGGCTCAGTAGGACACGAGGAGGTAACCGCTAGGTCATTTTCAAACAGCGCAAGTGCTATTTCATACTTCTCTCGCCATACCCTATAGTTGCCCCCTTCAAGAGATGGTCT